TATTTTTTTATATGCTTTTCTTCAGTTATACATTTTTCTATTTTTTGCTTATATATTTACCTATTTATGTATTCATATATCCTTTTCTGTTTATCATTATTATTTTTTATTATCTATCATTTTATTATTTTGTACTTTATTATTATTATTATCATTATTATTATTATTATTATTATTATTATCATTATTATTATTATTATTATTATCATTATTATTATTACTATTATTGCGTGTGTGTAGTTGAGATTTGTTTCCATATCTGGACGTGGTATGACCTTGACTTGAAGATATATACTACAACATTCTTTGAAAAAAATATCTAACACCATAATATATGATATGAGGCTGATGAAATAAAGTAAAGAATTCCTAAAAGAAATCGCATGCCACAGTACACGATATGAACCTTGTAGTATAAAGCCTAAAATTCTTTGGAAAAAGCTAACATACCAGAATGCATTATATAAACCTTGTAATATAAAACACTGAATTCTTTGGTGGAAAAAATCTAATACGATAATGCATGATAAGAGCCTTGAAATATAAACCCTAAAATTCTCTGAAAATATTTCACGAAACGCCATTAGCTGCCTCGTACAGTAACAAAGGAGGTAGATATCATAATGCATCTCATGAATCCCACGAGAACTGTTCATGACTTTATGCATGATTTCATGAACTCTTACTTTACAATGTTCTTCCCAAGAGACAAACTCTCATAAATCAAGTTGATGATAATAATAAAGATGATATTTAAGATGATAAGAGGATGTATAAGATTAAGAGTAATAAAGGTCATTTTTAAAACAGTAACAGTGATAATACACAAACATATTAATCCACGCCTCTTTATAAACTAAAAATCTAATGCCAACTAAAAGCAAAGAAATGAATAACCCCGCTCTCTCTGTCCTTATATTAAGTTACATGACCGTAAGTCAACTCTCTCTGTCTCTGTCTTTAGCTTTTTCTATCCTTCCGTTCCCTCTCTCCCCGAGCTACACGATATAACCCCGCTCTCTCTGCCCTCTTTCCCCCAGGTTAAAATATATATAACCCCGCTCTCTCTGTCCTCTCTCCTTAGGTTAACATACCACTGATCTCAGTAAAATACATAACACGAGAGATTAAATACATGTAATCCGGCTCTTTCTATCCCTATCCCCCAAACTAATAGCTATTTCTGGCCTCTCTCCCCCAGGTTAAAATACATAACCCCGCTCTCTCTGCCCTCTCTCCCTCAGACTAAAATGTATAACCCCGCTCTCTCTGCCCTCTCTCCCCCAGGCTAAAATATATAATCCCGCTCTCTCTGCCCTCTCTCCCCCAGGCTAAAACATATAACCCCGCTCTCTCTGCCCCCTCTCCCCCAGGCTAAAACATATAACCCCGCTCTCTCTGCCCTCTCTCCCGCAGGCTAAAACATATAACCCGCTCTCTCTGCCCTCTCTCCCCCAGGCTAAAATATATAACCCCGCTCTCTCTGCCCTCTCTCCCGCAGGCTACATGATCTCGTGCCTGTCGAAGGACGTGAACGTGGCGCTGGCTCTCTCGGCGCCCTTGCTCATTCCTCTCATGCTGTTCGGCGGATTCTTCCTCAATTCGCAGTGAGTCGTGGCTGCTGCTGTTAATTTGTCTGATTTTATTCTGCTTTTGTTTTTTTTTTCATTCTGTTGGCGTTTTTTTATTATTATTTTAGGTTTCAGGTTGCTTGAGTTTGTTGTTGGTGATGATGATGATGATGGTGATGGTGATAGTGATGAGAATAATAGTAGTGATAATAGTGATAGTAATAATAAATAGAAGAGTAATAGTAATGAAAATAATAAAAATAAGAGCCATAATAATAACGATAATAAAGATAGAGTCATAGTAATAACAACTACGACAGCAACGATGAGGACAATAGTAATAATGATAACTACAATAACAATGATTGTGATATTAATAATAAATAATGATGATAATAACAATAAGAGCAATAATAAACACTGATAACGGTAATGATATTGAAAACAATACTAATCAATATCAAATAACAAAAACACTAATAACAAACAACAGCAACTGAATAATACCAATTTCGACCCCCCACCCCTTCCCCCCTCCCCCCTCCCTCCTCCTCCATTAGGTCGGTTCCCTGGTACTTCATTTGGATCAAATACCTTTCCTGGTTCAACTACGGCAACGAGGCCCTGATCATCAACCAGTGGGCGGGCGTCCAGAACATCACTTGCCCGGAGGACGGCGCCAACGGGACCGCGTGCGCCTCCACGGGCGAGCAGGTCATCGCCAATCTGGGCTACAGCGAGGTAAGTTGGGGGGGGGGAGTGTTGGTTGTGGGTGTGGGTATGGGTATAGGTATGGGTATGGGTGTGGGTGTGGGTGTGCGTGTGGGTGTGGGTGTGGGTGTGGGTATAGGTATGGGTGTGGGTATGGGTGTGGGTGTGGGTGTGGGTATGGGTATGGGCGTGGGTGTGGTTGTTGGTTGTGGGTTCGGTTTGTTGGTGGTGTAGTAGTTGGTTGTGGTTGTGGGTGATGATGAGATTGTGGTTGTGATGTAGTTTGTTGTGGTTGTGGTGAGGTAATGGTTGTAGTTTGTTGTAGGCGCTGGTAAGGTAGGCTGGTTGTTGTGGTGAAGTGGTTGGTGGTAGTGAATGTGGTTGTTTGGTGAGGTGATGGTTGTGGTTTGTTGTTGAGTGTGGTTCTAATGAATGCTGGTGGAAGAAGGTTGTAGTGACAGGCATGTACTTGTTATTTTTATATATTTATGTTTTTTGTTATTAATATTCATATGTAACTCCAGTTGTTGCTGAGATTAAGCTAAAGGGTGTTGTTAAAGTGGTTGTTAAAGTGGTTGTGATGTGGTTGTGATGTGGTTGACGGTTGTGGGTATGGATCTACCTGTTATTTCGTCATCATTATGTTTATATATTTTTTTTTGTAAATGCAAATGTAGTTGGGCTTTAGCTAAAGGGAGTTGTTAGCGGTTGTAGTGACTGTAAACAGAATGGCGGTTGCTTTGTGGTTGTGACTGTAGTTTCCACGTTAATTCGGCGGTGGGAGGCGTGGCCGTAAAGGTGTTGGTTATAACTATGCTGAAGGAGATGCGCATTTGTAGCAGTGGTAATACAGGTACAATTGTTGTAGTTGTTGTATAGCAAGGGCTGTAATAGTAGTAGTTGGTGTATTCTTGGTAGCCGTGGTGATAGTGGTAGCTATAATATTTCTAACAATATAGTACAGTATAGTATGTTATAGTATAGTGCAGCATAGTCTTTATGAATGAAGCTGTAGAGGTGGCACTGATAAAAACGGTAATTGTAGTTGTCACAGCAGTAATGGTAGCACTGACAGTGATCGTGTAATAACGATATTAGTCGTATTTATAATGGTAATGTTAAGCGTAGCAGTCTTAATTGCAATCATGGTGTACTGCATAAAATAAACTTGAAAAAGTAGCATTACCAATAATTAAAAGTTTTACTCTGTTTTCATATTAATCACTTTTGATAAAGTTTATTATCAATTACTTCTTATTCTTTTCATTTACCTTTCCACACCTTCTCTTTCTTCCCATCATTAAGAATTTCTCCTCCTCCCTTTCTCCCCCAAACCCCACCCCACCCTCTCTCCTCCTCCTCCTCCCTCTTCTTCGTAAAATCACTTACAACCCTCCTTTAAACACTTTTTTTTCCCCCTCACTCTCTCTCCTCAGAATAACATGGGCTTGGACATCGGTCTCCTGGTCGCCCTCATCGTAGGCTATCGTCTGGTCGGATTCCTGCTCCTGCTGGCCAAGACCTCGAGGAAAGGAGTCAAGAACGTGGAATAGACGACGTTATTGTTGTTGTTTTTATACTTGTTATTCTTGTCGTTAATATTGTTTTTATTGTCGTTATTATTGATTTTCTTTTTGTTTTATTATTGTTACTATTATTATTATCATTATTATTATTATTAATATTATTATTACTATTATTATTATTATTATCAATGTTTTTATTATTATAACAATATCTTATCATTATCATTATTGTTACCTTTATTCATGTTATTATATTTTTTTCACCGTTTTGTTTTCTTGTGTCTTTGTCTCCTTCCTGTTTCTCAGTCTTCGGCTTTCTCTTCTTCTTCATTTATATCTTCACTTTCTTCTCTCTTTGAATCTGCTCCATCTTTTTCTTATGCCTCCTCCTCCTTCTCGTCTCCTTCCTTTTCCTGCTCATTCTTCTCCTCCTCCTCCTCCACTACCTCTTCTTCTTCCTCCTTCTCTCCTTCCACTTCCTCTTCCTTTACCTTTTCCTTTTGTTCTTCCTCTTCCTCCTCCTCCACCACCTCTTCCTCCCTCTTCTTCTCCTCATTCTCCATCCCCTTTTCTTCTTCCTCCTTCTCCTCTTCCTCCTCTTCCTCCTCCTCCTCCTCCTCCTCCTTCTCCATCCCCTTTTCTTCTTCCTCTTCCTCCTCTTCCTCCAATACTTCTCTTTCAAGAAATAAATGTAAATAAATAAACTACAATTCGAAATGATCTTCTCCAGTCAATCCTCTCCCTCTGTCCCATTGAGATCATCGCAGCCTATCTTGATTCCATTAACAAGCCAGTTAATCAGAGCGTAATTAAGCCAAGCCAATTATATCTTAGGACATCAAGCTTTCTCGTTAATGCTCTCTAATTATCGTTCTGTTTATTTGTCTTTCCTTCTTCTTCTTCTATTTTTATTTTTGCTTATTTTTTTTCTTCTTCTTCATTTCGTTGTAATGTTTTATTTTTATTGTTAGTATATTATTATGTATAGATTGTATATATATAGTTTTCAAATAAATTATAGAAAATTTATAACAGAAAGTCACACACAGCCGGTGGTGTGTTGCAACGTAGGTAAATAAACAGATAAATAGATAGATAGATAGATAGATAAGTAAATGAAATTTAAATAATGTAAATTTCTAGTAGGCTAAGGAAGTCCATTACGTATTGTAATAAAAAACGGTTTTGATTT